CCCCCCCCTTTTGGTAATTCTATATGACCGTTTTAATCGCACCATAGTGTTAAAAAAATTAAAATGTTAATGTATATAATTTAAATTCTACAATTAAGGGAACTATATGGTTGTAATAACCGTTATATTTCTTCATAATTTATAATGTATGTAACTTAAACTCTACAGTTAAGGGAACTATATGGTTATAATAACCGATACATTTCTTCATAATATACTGTTGGTGAATTAATTTAATAATAATTGAAGCATTACTTACCACATCTAATATGGTTTTAGGATTGCCAAGGAAGCAAGTTATTCTTCCTTTACCATATCCAACTGCTAAACTGTCAATAGTTCTGCAATTTTCCCATTAAATAAAAATAAGAAAAAGAATTATTATTTGCATTCAGTGAAAATATAATTGTTAAGAAAAATTCAAAAAAAATTGAATTTATAAGGAAATTTCTGAATAGTGAATATATTATTACCTGATACCTTCAACCCAACCAGGAAAAGGTTCTTTAAAGGTGCTAGTTATGATAGTAGGACGTACAATAACAAGAGGTACATCTTCTTTCAATTTTCCCAAAAGCATTTCTCCCATTGTTTTTGTGAATACATAGGTGTTTGGCCATCCATATTTCCTTGCTCTTCATGATCAAGAATATTAAGAAAAATTGTAAGTTATAGTCTATAACTCTATATTAACAGTGTACACTTGATCGACAACATGAATCACTTAAATTAAATTAAATAATTAGCGTGAAAAAAGAAAAAAATTAATGGAAAAATATAAAATTGACTAGCCGGCTGAAATTAATTGCATTCGATAGCCAAAATATGTATATTATGTGAATAATACACATATATAAAAAAAATTCTAAATTATTATTTTTGGGAACGGCTAAAAATATATGTTTCTCAAAATTAATCGTACCTTTCAAGGCCAAGCTCCTTCAATGTTATTGTAATGGTTTTTTCAGAAGCATCTTCAGCTTTGAGTTGTTTCAGTGTTTCTTCCATTAATTTCTTCTCTGCTTCAATATCTAGCCCTGATGTTCCATTTAGGGTCTCACCCATACTGTATGGTGTCTCCAACATTAATCCTGGCTTTTCACCACATACATATGCTGAAAAAAAAGTTACTATGATTTACTTTTTGTTCATAATATAATTAAATAAATAAAAATGTACTCTCCGTAACAGTTTAAGCTTTTAGATGAGACAGTCACACACTTAATATAGTGATATGCAAGGGGTATTGCATTTGAATCTCTCTGCTACCCATTAACCAAAAAAAAAAAAAAAAAAAAAAAAAAAAAAAAAAAAAAAAAAAAAACCTTTCACGTGCTTAGCCCGTAAAAAAGATCAAGCTCACACATGAAAAAAATGTGTTGAAATATAATTAAATAAATGAGATGATCACACACTTCAATAATTCTTTGCCGATTTGATTTTGAAAACATGGGAAGGAAGAGGGCAACTGCAAGCAATATGGAGGTAACAAAAGTATTATTTATTTATTTATATATAAATAGAGATTTAATGTTTCCAGTGGATAAAAGCTATGTACACTAACCAGTTGACACATGAAGAAGAACCTTTAGTTTATTACACTTCTTGGCAAAATTGAGGACATGTCTAGCTCCAAATGTATTAATTCCCAAGGCCACATCATATCTACGTATTAGAAAACGTAGAGTTGGTCAATTTAAAATAATAGTAAATTCAATATTTAATTAAAATATATAAAATATATAAAAGTAATGGTGGGCACATACCTTTCATCAAAATTGGTAGTTGCAGCTAGATTAACAACAATATCTACTTCCCTCCACATCTCATCCAACAAATTGGAATCTTTCACTCCTAAATTCTCACAAGTTATGTCACCTGGTACAATTGTGGTCCTTTGTGAAATAAATGTACTAAAATTTGCCCCACATTTTTCTTTTAGAACCTTGAATAGGTCCTTTGCCACAACCTGTTCAAGAAATAAAGTTAATGCACATATATATAAGTGTAAAGTAAATTCTCAAATGACTAGTGTTATGATGGTAAATGTTTCTTTCCTCTTTTTCCTTACTAACCATAGGAATATTTGTTTTATGTACTTTGTTTTTCTACTTATAGAATCAGTTTCTGAAATAGCCAAAGCAAAAAAGGTAGAAGAAAAGGTTATATATGTGGCTTTATTCTGAATGGAACTAATTTATGTCATGGCCATCGATTAAAATTATAAAGATTAACCTAAATAGGCATATGTATAATCGCTGAAATTAAAAAGAAGAATTNATATATATATATGTACAATTCATGTACATATATATGCATAACTATGTACAATCAATATATAATCTATATATACCGGCAAAAAAAAAAAGCAAACATTGAATCTGACGGGCTATTTGTGTAACAATCCCAATTAAAAATAGCTGGCGAATGTATAATATATGCATAATATGTGTATAATCAATATATAATCTATGTACCGGTTAAAAAATAATAAATTTGGCCGACTATTTGTGTAAAGATACCAGAATATAAGTTCAAACTATTGATGATAGTGATGGGCAATTCTATAACAAAGAAATTTTAACACTAAGTATTAATCTAAGAAAAAGTACAAGAGGAACAAATTAAGACAGTGGAATGGAAGATACGGTTTGTTAAAATTAAATTAAGTAAAGGGCAGCTCGATATACTAAGCTTCTGCTATGTGCGGGATCCGAGAAAGAGTCAGACCACAAGGATTGCATTTTTCCAAGAGGCTGTTTCCACGGTTTGAACTCGTGACCTCCTGATCACATGTTAACAACTTTACCAATTATGCCAAAGCTCCCCATAAAATTAAATTAATTAAAGGAAACAAATTAGAGGGTTATTATTGTTCTTGTTTAGAGAAAGATATTTTCTTAATATTGCTCACTTTTCAGCTGTCATGTGGTCCTTGAGGTTTTCATGTACGTACACGAGTTTGAACATGAAAAATGTATCCTGCTTCAGTTCTTCACCTTTTCTTTTCTTTTGTTTTCCCATTGAATATTTCAAGATTATAATTAACATTTTTTCCTACTCCCATTTTTGTTTTAACAATCATAATTCTTTTTTCGAGATTATTATATCGTGGAAAGGAAAACAATAATTTTATTGAGAAAAATCCACAGCATCTAAGCTAGTTCAAGAAATGAAAAATGAAAAAAAAAATTGGAAAAAGATACTCAACATTAAGCTTTTGTTCAAGAAAAATAAGAGAAACTAAAATGTTTTCATTAGAAAATAATTAAGATAGGCTTAACATTGTGTACCTCATTATTGAAACGTTGTATGGCTGCCTTGTCATCTGCAGCTCTTAAAAGAAGATAGAGCTTCTTTACATTTGGTTGAACCCTTAGTATTTTCTCCACAAAAACTACAAATAAACATATACGGATTTATTTTGCTGTGCCATATATAATACAAGAAAAAAAAATAAGAAATATAAAAGAGAGATATATACTCTTTGCCAAAAAGCCAGTGGCACCAGTAACAAGAATGGTTCTGTTCTCAAGAAACTTGACAATACTTGGTAACTCCATTGTATAAAGATAGTGATAAAGGAAATAGGAGAGAAGAAATTAGAGGGAAAGGAAATGAGAAAGAATGAGTAGACCTGAGTATTNATATATATATATAGTTAAGAGCTTTGAAAAAGAAGCCTTCTTGCAAAATGATATAAGTGGGATTGTGTACACGCAAGTAGTTGTCAATGTCTTTAGTAGATTGAAAAAAGTGATGCTAGTTCAAAATAGTCGTGTCCCTACAAATCTTGAGTTCGAGTCTTATATTTGCACCTTGTCAAAAAGAATTTTTATGTGTTTGTCTAGTGAAAAATTAGGTGCGCACGTGAGGTGGCGTGTTAAAAATATATAATTAAAAAAATTATATCGATAATTTTTGTAATTGTTTTAATCTTATATGAGATGGTTGCACACTTTAACAGACCAAGTTAGACTATCAAAAGTCAACTTTGAATTGTTTTATTTTTACTTTTTTATTCTTTAAATTGTTTCCCTCCTAGTGAGTTCACCTACATATAGTTACGTTCTCAAGAAACATATGTGTCGTAAAACTGGTGATTTGGTAAGGGCTTGGAAGAGAAGGGTGAGCTAAATTTGGTTAATCCTGTTCAACCAACCTTCTTGGAAATATTTTACTAAATAGAATGTTCTAAAATATATTTTAATTTTGAAACAAATTGGAAACTTAAAATTAGCACTATTGCTATGTATATCCTAGTAAGTTGGAATGGCGTCTTTGAAGTCGTGTGATGCATCCATCTTTATTTCTATCATAGCTATAGTTCTAAATTTTAACACGCAGCCTTTTATTTTGAGTAAATATCTTCTTTCGGTTTAATTAATTCGCACATTTAAAATAAATAACAACCAGATCTGTAATAAGCTTAGTAGCTAGAATCCTCTCTCTTTTAGTCAGATCCAACATTTTAGACAACATTTAAGTGGTTATGTGAGCTATTTAGGTTTACTCAACAACATAATAAACATGTGAAAATACGTGGTTTGAAAAAAATTATTCTTTAAAGTCTGTTTAGCTTTATTGATTAAAAATATCCGACAAGCATAAAGTAAAGGTATCTGTATACGGTCAAAATCAGGTATGCCTGATTTAGTGAACTCGAGGAACCGCTTCAAAAATAAGTCCGAAATAGACTGGGCTCGAGCCCGATGGCGGAGTTCGAAGTTCGAAGATCAAAGTGTCCGATGAATATATATCAAGGCCGACCATGACCAGCTTCGAGATAATGCCCTTGTGATTTTGTAACAGAAAAAGCAAGATTCCTGCAATGGCCCAAAGATCAAGGCGTAAATTCCGGAACGAATTTGTACGAATTCGTACTAGGCGGTTAGACAGTTGTCCAATTAGATTCCTTACTAAAAACGAAAATGTACCTTATTTAGGACTCCCCTATTATATAAAGGGGAGCCCATTCACTTGTAAGAGGATCAATCGTTGGCAAAGGAATATACATTCTTTACTTTCTAGCTCATTACTCATCAGAATTGTCCTTTAACTTTATTGTTTTTACTTTATTGCTCTTGTTGACCTACCTCGAGGCTACCTTAGCTCGAGGTCGAGACTTGCTCGCACACTGGTTTGATTCAGCTTACTTCTTTAATTTATACATTTGATTTCTTGATTATCAGTTAGTATTGGACTAATCACGTATCTCAATACAAATTTAATTCTTACTCAGATTTTAGGGTAAACAGTTTGGCGCCCACCGTGGGGCTAAAGATAATAGTGATTGTTTCAGTGCTGATTTTGATAACACACGTTATTTTCACACTTATTCTTGCCAAAGATTCTTTGTTTTCAGGTTAAAACATGTCGAACTCGTAAAACGCACCCATACATAGTGACGACGGTCTTGGATTTCACGGGGAAAACGAAAACATAATTGCTCCAGGAGTCGGGGTACCACCGATTAACCCTGGGGAAGTGCCTGCAGCCGACCCCGTTGACGTCAGTTCACACATTGCTTTGAACGCAGATTTGGGCGTGGACCCCGGAGGGAGCGTGCGCAGGGAAGTCTGAACTGATGGCCAAGGAACTTAGGGCATAGGAGATGGGGGAGTTAGTCTCCAAGTAATATTCGAGATGTTACAGGCTTAACAAGCCGATATTGCTCAGCTTTAGAGTCAACACAAAACTCTAAGTATGGTCGAGCCGGAAATTAGTCGTTGTACCGAGCTAGTGCCGGAAAGAACGAATGGTAGTGGATCAGGGGTTGATCCTACGATTATGAAGATGTTCGAGGAGCTCACCAAAAGAATCGAGTCAGGAGAAAAGAAAATCGAAGATAATGACAAAAAAGTGAAAATATACAATTGTCGAGTTGATTAAATACCAGGGGCACCCCCGATCTTAAAGGGTTTGGATTCAAAAAAGTTTGTGCAAAAGCCTTTTCCCCAGAGTGCAGCTCCGAAGCCCATCGCAAAGAAGTTCAGTATGCCGGATATACCAAAATACAATGGGACCACCGATCCAAATGAACATATCATTACGTACACATGTGGTATAAAGGGAAATGACTTAGAAGACAATGAAATCGAGTTCGTTTTGTTGAAAAACTTTGGGAAAACTCTATCAAAGGGAGCAATGATTTAGTATCATAATTTGCCACCGAATTCCATCGATTCATTCGCAATGTTAGCATATTCATTTGTGAAAACACACGCTGGGGCCATAAAGGTCGCAATAAGAAAATCGAACGTCTTCAAGATAAGACAAAGGGATAACAAAATGTTGAGGGAGTTTGTGTCCCGATTTCAAGTGGAACGTATGGAGTTACCGCCGGTATCTGATGATTGGGCCATGCAAATATAAGACAAAGGGATATCGATGCATCGGGAATTGTCTCAGCTATCAAAAGGATCAAAGACCCCAGGTGGCCTAGACCTATACAAACCGATCCTTCTCAGAGAAACCCAAACTTTATGTGAAAATATTATGGGACGCATGGTCATAAGACTGAAGATTGCAGACAGCTGAGGGATGAGGTAGCTCGATTGTTCAACGAGGGCTATCTTCGAGAGTTCCTTAGTGATCGAGCTAAGAATCATTTCAGAGACACCAATAGGAAAAATGAACAAGAAGAACCACAACATGTCATTCATATGATCGTTAGAGGGGTTGATATTCCACAAGGGCCCGTGTTCAAGCGCACTAAGGTGTCGATTACCAGGGAGAAACGGACCCGGGATTACGTGCCCGAGGGTTCCCTATCATTCAACGACGAAGAAATGAAAGGCATTTCTCAACCACATAATGACGCGCTGGTAATTTCTATCTTGTTAAATAAAGTTCAAGTTAAACGTGTTTTAGTGGATCCAGGTAGCTCGGCAAATATCATCCGATCGAGGGTCGTAGAGCAACTCGGCCTGCAAGACCAAATTGTGCCCGCAGCTCGGGTCTTGAACGGCTTCAACATGGCTAGTGAAACAACTAAAGAGGAGATAACTCTACTAGTGAACGTGGCTAGAACCATTCAATATACAAAATTCCACGTGATCGATGGCGACATGAGATACAATGCCCTACTCGGAAGGCCATGAATTCACAACATGAGGGCGGTTCCTTCAACCTTTCACCAAATGATGAAATTCCCGACAATGGATGGTGTGAAAATAGTTTACGGGGAACAGCACGCAGCAAAGAAAATGTTTGCAGTTGACGAGGTGTGACACCAATACCAGCACCTTCAACGTCAGAAAAATCGAACAGCAAAGACAAGCAGATAGCAATCACTGTCCCCAGCCTCAATCGAGTCGGGGGAACAAGTAATCGAAGAAGAAGAAGAAGAGGATTTTCTTACTCCTTGAACTTTCATTATTCCCGAGGAATCAGATGCAACCAAGTCAACGATTGAGGAGCTGGAACAAGTGATACTGATCGAGCATCTGCCCGAGCGAAAGGTATACCTGGGATAGGATTAACCCTCGAACTCAGGATAAAACTCATTCGATTTGATATCGATAACATAGATTGTTTTTCTTTGTCCCATTTAGACATGATAGGGATCCCACCGGAGATAACAACACATCGGCTAAGCCTCGGCCCCAGGTTCAAACTAGTGAAACAAAAGAGAAGGCCCCAGTTCGAGGTAAAATATGCATTCATAAAGGATGAGGTAACAAAACTTCTCAAAATAGGGTCCATTAGGGAGGTAAAATACCCCGAATGGCTAGCCAATGTGTCGTAGTCCCTAAAAAGGGGAACAAACTTAGAATGTGTGTGGATTACAAGGATTTGAACAAGGCGTGCTCTAAAGACTCTTTTCCACTGCCTAACATCGATCGTATGATCGATTCCATGACTGGCCACGAGATCCTTACCTTTCTTGATGCCTACTCCAGGTACAATCAAATTTAGATGAACCTAGAGGACTAGGATAAGACCTCATTTATCACTAAGTTTGGAACATAATGTTACAATGTAATTCCCTTTGGACTAAAAAACGTAGGAGCTACTTACCAACGCCTAGTAAATAATATGTTTGAAGAACAAATAGTTACGTCAATGAAAGTTTACATTGATGATATGCTAGTTAAGTCCCTGCGCGCAGAGGACCATTTAGCTCATTTGTAGGGAACGTTCGATATTTTGAGAAGATACAACATGAAACTCAACCTTGAGAAATATGCTTTCGGAGTCGGCTCAGGCAAGTTCCTAGGCTTCATGGTATCGAATAGGGGGATCGAGATCAACCCCGACAAAATCAAGGCCATCGAAGACATCACCGTCGTGGACAATGTAAAAGTTGTACAAAGGCTAACCGAACGGATAGATGCCTTGGGCCGGTTCATTTCGAGATCTCTAGATCGGAGCCACATACTATTTTCCTTACTCAAAAAGAAAAAGGATTTCGCATGGACCCCGAAATGTCAGCATGCATTCAAGGAATCGAGCCCACCTCTGCTCCACACTTCGAAGGCAGATGAGAAGCTCTATTTGTACTTGGCAGTATCCGAAGTAGCGGTAAGTAGTGTACTAGTTCGAGAAGAGCAAGGTACAAATCCTAAACCCTAAACCCGCAGTTTCTTGTTTATTACGTAAGTCGAACCTTAGGAGACACTGAAACTAGGTATCCAC